AAAACTTATGTCGATAAAACATTTTTCTCTCAATCAAAAAACTTGTAAATGTAATACAAGGTTTCTTGTTGTTAATGTAAATTAACAAAAAAGTTGATTGTAAATCCACAATAATATTTTATGAGAATTTAAATGCTTCTTTGTTTAAACATAGAATTTTGAGAAAATTTGTAAAAATCACAAAAATTATGCTTAGTTAGAAATTCATACAAATTTTTTTTTAAGATTTAAAAATTTAATACAAGATCCCATAAGCTTGTCTAACTTCGAACAAAAAAAAATTTCTACTGGAAAGTCGAATTAAATTTTTAAGAGCGTTTGATGTTGAAATTTTTAGAACATTGGATATTCACTCGATTTCTCTTGTAGCGATTTTCTTATTTTGTTATAATTCAAAAACAAATTACTGTGGACACTTGAAATTTACACCATATGTTTATTTCATTAATTCATAAACATAATACATTTTCAAAATATTTTGACTCGTTTTAGTTGTTGACGGGCATTTTTAATTTCATTTTTTTAAATTTTTTTTTTCTATAAATGTCAATACAATTTTATTGGTTGGATCAAAAGCATGAAAATTTAACATAAGACTCCTGATATATTGTTACAATAGAAGTTTAAAAATATAAAAATACATATATATTATACCACTTATTTGATGGTTATATTTTTCACAAAAATATTTTTAAAGTAGAAAAATTACGAAAATTCTCAAGTAGATTATTATTTATATTATATGTTGCATATAGGTTTCAATAAACGATTGTTATTCAAATAGAATATAAATAAGGATAGAATTATTTATATAGCCCAGGATAGCATTACTATAAATTTTTCAAGTTATATTAAATTATTGTTTTTGTAGATTACAACAGACACATAGTATATTATTGCCCTAAAAAATAACCGCGATATATATTTTAGAATTGTAAATTGATTTTCAAAGAGATAATAATTAATATTTAAGTATGTATTTATTTTATGAACTTCTTTGAAATTTGAATACCTATCTAGTACCTATATTTATTAAATGCTTGAAGCATTTTAAACATTATTTTATTTGATTATAAAGTAGATGCGTTTAACATTATCTTAACTTCTAAGAAATTTCTTGTAAAGTTTATTTTCACAAGAGTTTATTTTATATTTATTTCTATATTATTATTTCTACATATAGGATGAATCAACAAGCATGCTCGCCCACATTATATAATTTAATTATGAATTTATAGTTATGGATAGTTAGTCTACCGTCATACCCACAACATCATGAAAGACCAGAACCACCAAACCAATTAAAGTAATGTGGGTGGCTATTGCAGTGCAACTTTTACTTGGTGATAGGAAAGCCACTTTTGGTGACTGTCACCTGTGGAATTGTCATACCTGTTATCGATTAAGATTTAACTGCGAGTAAATAGATAATAGTAGTCCATTTTAATAGGTTTATACTTGTGACTATGAATCATAGTATATGATAATTTTAAAATTATAGTATTTAATATTAATTTATCATATTATAGTTTTAAAATGTGAACGAATGTTTATAGTAAAACAAGTATTATACTAGAGTAAACTTGCTATTAAATGATTGATTTCGAATCGTAGAGTTATATAGTTTTGAAATTTTGATAGCGCCTTAGTATTTTTATTGCAGACTAGTGTAGTAAAATTAACCAACCGTGTGTCTCGTTCCCTGAATAATATTTTACTCTGTACACAAATATGATAGTGGTATTTGCAACGATAAATCGGACATGATTATTTATTACAGGTACTGAAAATCCCGCGCTAAAAAAGCCTATAATAATAAAAAGAATTCGAAACGATTCGATAGTGTAGACTATGAACGATTGATTATAGTAATAACTCTTTCCATTGTCCTATATATGATACAAAACACAATTGGCTACAATTCAAACGTCAACCGGACAAATGAACAAATATTGCACCAGTTCGGTATCAGCTGATATTTCAATGGTACTGATCTATATGTCAGTGTGCAATAAAACATTCTAGATGCAATACAAACCACATTTGAAATCGTACCCAGTTACAACGAACATTTTACAGTAAATGTGGGCGGGTTAAATATTCCATTCTAGCTCACGGATTACTTCTGCGCCATTGCGGCTCAAACAGCTGATATTGAGATGTACGTCGGGCGGTTTGTGTTCGAAATCGGCGCGAGCTCTCACTCGACTTTACACTTTAGGCGATTCGAGTGCGATGGTTACCAATTAGATCGCAATACTTTAATATTGTAATATTTGGATTGAATGTACCCACATAATATTATATTCCTACGTTGTTTAAACTGTAGGTGCAGAGCACAATGTATTATAATAAACGCATCTTAATAAATATATTATTAATATTATATATTAATATAATACATGATTAATGCGTTAATCGATCCGATTCGGATATGCCTTATGTATGCACGGTGGTCACGATGGTGAATTTTTGTTGTCATTCAAACGTTTATCTTTCATGGATTTGGCAAAAGTTAACGACGGGGTGAATTTTTCTTGTCGAGTTTATATTATGTGAAAAACTTAAGTGGGAAACCAGTAGTGTGCGCACGTGTTGGTGCCGCGTCCGTTCAACGTCATCAAGAAAAACGAGCGTACGTTATAAACGTACATTTATAAATATAATATATTATAATGGTGTGTACATGATGTACGTACTACTGACGCACAGTTAGAGTTGTTGTTTTTGTTGCTGCTGTTATATATTCATATATATATATACAAAGTCAAAACTCATTTCAGAAACTTTGGTGCTGTTTTATATTTAAGTTACGCACACGCACACGCACACACATACATATGATTAATCAACGTTTTAACGCTCTTGTCTACCACTTTTTACCCCGTTTACCATTTCATGTACCTCAGAATCAAGTCTCCTTTCTCATTCGTGTGGTTAGGTCTTAGGTTGGGACGTACCGCGGTCCCAGGCATGTTTTATTCTGTTCATAAATCCATGTGTTTATCACACGTACAACATCTTTTCATCTCACGTCTGTTAACGACGTCGTCGTCGTAGTCTCTTACTCTCTTCTCTTATGATGGCGATGGTTTAATTATTGGAGACAATTTGACGTTCAAATTTTTGTTACCCAACAAATATCTAAGTTTATCAAAATTTAAACTTTTAACGATCATAAAAAAATAGAGCGCAGAACGTTTGGACACATTAACCCAAAAGCCAACACGTTTGGGTACAAATAGATAGAACATTTGGGCACATAAAATAAAAGGTAAATCAGAGCACGTTTGGGTATACATGTATAACTATATAAGACACGTTTGAGTATACATCATAAATTCATAATTTATACGCGTAAACTACAATTATAGTGGTAGTATTTTCAGTTTTATACGAGCTAATTGTTTTAGTATAATCAATACCTTGATAGAAATTCAAAGAAACTTTTTTAAAGAAATCCACTATGAAGAGTTATCTTGAAAAATCTAGGTAGGTAAATAAATAAAAAAAAATGTTAATAGATTTTTGTAATGAATTATGAATGACCTAACGATTTTCAATTAAAATATAATAATATGTACTTAATTATATAAATATTTTTAAGTTTAAAAAAAAAATAGATTGGGAGACTCTTCGTGATGCCTCCTGCGTAACGTTAGGTAAACGGAATTAAAAAGTAAAATAAAATAAAAACCCCAAATGTGGTATTATTTTAAAAATATGACGTATATTCATTTTAGGTCTTTAAGAAATGTTAACCCAAAGGTGTGTTTCCAATCGTTCTCCCAATACCAGGTAAAAATATGGTTTTATGCCCAGAAGCGTTACGCCATGAATGCGGGTTTACTCTTAACTCTTATTTTTACCTCCAGTAAAATCAACCTATGGGGTTGGTACCTCGTGTTCTGTTTTTCAAATAAGAACACCCTTCCATCCATCTGTAAATTATTTAATACATCAATTTTTTGAAAATGTTAACTAATCATAATCAAAATTCAAACAGTTTTTAAGTTATTTGACTTTGAGTAATAAGGTCAATAGGTCCATTATCATAATTTTGGGATATATGAGGGTTATGGTGACTTGTACATTTTAGTAACTTATATGAATCTATCATTTATCAACATTCATAATTTGTAAAAATGGACCTAGTATAATAAACACTAGATCCAATAATACATCTATTTCATATTTTCGTAAAACCATTTTTATCCTTATTATAAATATTTTGATAACTAAAAAACTAATCTTAAAATATAAACTGATAGATAATAAGTATTATAATCTAATAATTGTGATATTTTTTGCAAAAATTAGTACCGATTATGGTATTACTAGCATACGGTATGTACTGAATACTTAATAGTAATATAAATTTAGTGTGTTTTTACCAATAATTAGTAAGAAGTGAGAACAGAATTGAAAATGTTTTACTTTTGGGGTATACCAAATAGACTTATTTTCTTATCAGAAAAAATAGTTGAAACATTTTTTTTTACCGTATAAAAAGTATTTCCTGATACAAAAAAACAAAACACACACACATCATTGAAAAATCAATACATTCTTTCCTCCGCTTAGAATCTAAAATATTCTACGAAATTATTAAATATTTACATAAATACATATTATATGAGACTTTCTCACATAAAAGAAAACAATTTGATTATTTTGATATTTGAAATTTGCAACAGAGTATACCTATGTAAAAGTACGAAAATATAATAGCCGAATAACTTACAATCCCTTGTAGAATTGTAGAATGTAATTAGTAATTACCCATTTTTTAATTTTCATCTGCTTATTAGCTTTGTTCTGCATTTTAATTCTTAGGTAATGTTTTCACAGTAGTTACGAAGACACATCAATTCGTCTGTATATCTTTAGTCGGTTAAAAAATACATAATATTTAACATTGAATATTTCCCAGATATGCATAATATTCATTCCTTAAAAAAAATTTTTCTTTTAATATTTAAATATTTTGTAATGTATTTGACTTATATTTGAATCGCTAAATGCAGAAAGGACACATGTCCAATATTTTACAAAAATCACTTTATTGCATAATCGAATTTAATATTGATAAATACATGGTTTTGTGCAGACAAGACACATGTCCTATTAAATTGATCCCCGTTAAAAATAATTTAAAATTTCGTTAATTGCAGAAAAGGCACATGTCCTGGACATGTAACCTTTTTGCATCAAAATTATACTTTAGTAATATTTTCAGAACTAAACCTCGTGAAATCACTTAATTGTATGACATGTAATATTGTTCTATTTATAAATTTAATTTTTTACAATTGTTTATCAGTAAATAAAGATTATAATGGTGAAAACGTTGCTATACCTACTTATAAAATAAAATGATTATCAGTGAATAAAATATATTGTACTGGTTGAAACGTCGTAGTCGTGTACAAACGATCATTACGTGTATAACTTTAAAAATGAGTTCAGACGACGAGTGTATTAGTCCTCTCAAAAGAAAAAAAGGTGTTTCTAACAGTGATAAATATAAAAGAAATATTATTAAGCAAGCAAAAATCGAAGGAAAAAAACATACAAACTGGATTGGAAAAATAGTTGCTGCAAAGAATGATCCTTCATTAATACTTAAAGAATGGTAATTATATAATATCTAGTTGGTTTTGTTCGCTATTAATAAGTAGTAGCTTTTATATTTTTACATTAATATTTTCGATTTAAAGTTGTTCAAAAAAATGTCTCAAAGACATTCAACAAAAAAAACTTGAAGATATAATGAAAATGTTTTATGAGTTGCATTCTAAAAATGAACAAGACCTTCATCTTCAACGAACAATAGAAATAAAAGAAATTACAAGAAAACGAAAACGAATAGAAACAGAAGAAGGAAAAGAAAAACCGAAATCCAAAAGTGTTCAGTATTTTTTAATAGTAGATGGACAGCGTATTCAAGTATGTAAGAAAGCTTTCATTAACGTTTATAATATTTCTAATAAAAAAATTAGACGGCTGGTCGATTTGTTAGAAAATAATATTACCCCAGTTGATATGAGAGGCAAAAATATTAGTGCTAATACTATGCCATATGAGTATTGTCAAAAAATACATGAACATATACTAAGTTTTCCAACTAAAGATACTCATTACACAACACGATTGAAAAAATATTTAGACCCTAAATTAAATGTTAAAACTATGCACACAATGTTCATAAAAAAGTATCCAGAGTTAGAAGCGAAAATAAAATATCAATATTATTGGGAGTATTTTAAGAATAATTTTTCATTAAGCTTTGGTGCTCCAGTCAAAGATGCTTGTTCAAAATGCGAAGAATTAAATACAAAAATAATGAGTAAAGATTTAAATGATGTTGCAAAAAGAGTTGCTGCTGCGGAATTATTAGTTCATAAACATAGAAGCAAACAATTTTATAATAATATTAAAAAAACAATAGAGATTTCTCAACAGAATAAAAAAGTGTTAGGTCTTTGCTTTGATTTTATGGCTGTAGTTGACTTACCTAAAATACCGGTGCAGGAAGTATATTATTATCGTCAATTATCTGTCAATACTTTTGGTATTCATAATTTAAACACGAATAATTTATTTTGTTATGTTTATCATGAGGCAACAGCAAGAAAAACGCCAAATGATGTATGCTCTTTTTTGGTTCACTATATTAATAGTTTTGTTGATAATGATGTTGAGGAATTGCATTTGTTTTGTGACAATTGTGCTGGGCAAAACAAAAACCACGCATTACTTAGAATGATTATGGCTCTAGTTGAAATTAAAAAATTCAAAAAAGTTCAGGTTTTTTTTCCACAAAGAGGACACTCGTTTTTGCCGTGTGATCGTGACTTTGCATTGATAAAAAAACAACTTAACAGAGTCGATCGTCTATACACTTTAGAAGACTATATAGAAATTATTTTAAAATCATCAAGAAACCCAGAAAAATTTTCAGTGTTTCTAGTTGATAAAAGTATGATTTATGACTATCAAATGTGGTTTTCACAATTTTATATTAAAAATACTAACGCGTTAGAATGTTTAAGCCGTAATAAAACATCGAAACAACGTCGTACAATAGACAAATTTTTAATTTCTAAGTACCATTATTTTGAATGTGTATCGGAAAAATGTGGAATAATTAAGGCAAGTGAACTTATTGATGGAATAATATCAAACCATTTCAAATTAAGAAAAAACAATGCAATGCCCATACAACTCCCAAAAACACTAGTTTATACTTCAAGCTTACCAATTCTTGAAAGCAAAATGAAAGATTTGAAGCAACTAGCGAAGTATATTCCAGAGCCAGCATTGCAATCATTTTGGAATTGTATATTTTCGTTACAAACTGAGACACCTCAAGCAAGGCAAAGTAGAACATAAGATATTTATATAATTAAATTTCTAATTATTAAAAAGATATCGAATATTTGTGACTCAATATTAGTATATAATCTACCGTATATTATTTAATCATGTAATTTTAATTTTTATGCATATTAAAGCTACTTATTTATAAGAAAACGGTTATTTTCGAAATATAAATGGTAATTTGAAGCATAAACGGCACATGTCCACAACCTTAAAGTCCTTCAGATACCTACAGTTTAATTATACTTCTTTAAGTGATTGTAGAAACATGTATACCATGTCTTAAACTATATTATTCTATAACATACAATTTGTAAATCAATTTTTTTCAAATATATTAAGTTTTTTGTGTTTCCTGAAAAATTTTAAAACTTGGACATGTGTCCTTTCTGCATTTAGCGATTCATTTAAAGAATCTAATTTTATAAATTTAAAAAATGTTATTGGAAAGTCACAATACGTTTTGTGGCTGAGGCCAACCACTGGACCAAACCAGGCCACGTGATGTAATCCAGGCATGTCAAACACGTGGCCCTCAGCTCATTTTTTTTATGGCCTTTGGATAGCAACATTAATGAACAATTATTTGAAAACAAAATTTACAGGTACAATGTTATCTTCGTGTCACAACAATGTTAGTGAGATGTATACATCATTATGTTACTTTTCTGTCTTATCTTCGAATAAACTTTAATTGAATAAGTATTATTGTATAGAATTATTAGTAATAAATACAATTAAAAATTTGCATAAAATGTTTCTTTTTCGATACATTTTTATGTGCTATGAAAAAGTGAACTATTCAGTATAATATTTAGCCCAGTTAATACACTCAGTTTGACATGCATGAATTGTCGTCTATAATTATTGTAGTGTATATATTGTATAAAAACCGATCTCTTTATTAATGTTTGTTGAAAAACCATGAAATATTACACAATGTTATTTTTTTTCGTAAAAAAATCTTATAATTATAAATACTATTAAGTACAATATAAATATATATACATTTATATTTTTGTCAATACAATTTCCCTTGTAGGGTACATATTGTGTATAGAAATGAAAATATACATTATATTATATAAATATGTATTATGTTTTATGAATTATGGTACAATACAAACTCGTATCACAATGCTTACAAATTAAAACTTTTCTATTCAAACTTAGGTACTTACATTTTTTCATTCATCAATCACTGTTGGTAAAATAAATTGTTTATATTGACCATTTTTTATTTATTTAAAAATATATTCAAATTGAGCTTTATTTTTGTGTAAACTTTGTAAACCATTATTAGTTTAGAAACTAGAAAGTTATGTAATAGCTATTTATTATAAATTTGAACGTGTCACTATATTGTATTATCCGTAATATAGATTATATTGTGTTGTAATATCTAATAGTTTTTTTTTACAGTATGTATTTATTTAAGAGTTAAGACCCTACATATCTACACAAATTATTCTTGACATCTAATTTGATTTTGGGGCACATACGTGATTTTCTTATTTTATGTGTCTTGATCAAGGAAAAGTAGGTTCATTATATAATTTTGTACCCACGTCAAACATCGGTACGTAGGTACCTAATGTGAATGAAAATATTCAATACTACCTTGTAAAATCTTTTAGTCCGTGTTTGATTTTGTGTGATCGCTATTAATTAGTCAGTAGGTACTACAATTCGCAACACAAATTATTTTTACATAATTACAATTTATAACATAAAGAAACTAATTGTTAGTTAAATAAAAAACCTTGTAACATTTAATTAGATTTAAATTGCCTATTACTCTACTTACACTACTTCTGCGGTATTTCGTTATAATACTAATAATTACTGAATTAAACATTGAGGAATTTAAAAAGTCACCTCTGTACTAAATACGACGTAGTAATTTTTTCCGAGTTTTCACATTGTACATTGTACATTTATTTTTAGGCCACCTCGTCACACAGGTATGATGATTAAATAACTTTTCACCCCCCTTTTAAGTTTAATTTAATCGAACAAATTGAATGTAAGTATAGAATACTGAATAACAGAGTAGGACTTTAGGTGCTAAATATTTAATTTATTCTAACATCAAAAAATGAAATTTATACATTCATTAATTCCACTATAATACCCTGTAATATAATGAGAAATTTACTATTTTTAAGGGATACTACGGTCTATAATAAGTAATAACCAATGAATCAATATCATAATGAACACAGAGAATTTCATGAAATTGGTTTTACTTGAAAAAATATGTTATGTATGGTTGGTAATGAAATAAGTTGCTACAGTAAACACTTTTTCTTAGATATCACAATTGAGAATTTGTAGAGTATTAAAATATAGCAATTTATCTATAAATAATGATTTAAAAATTAAATTTTATTTTTTTGAATCATATAATGATTTAAAAAAAATTTCATTTCTTAAGAAAGTTATTTTGTGTATTTTGTAGCAATCATTACAGTATTAGTTATTAAGTTTATTACATTATATTGTTATGTATGTTGATGTTGGACATATTTATCTGTATTGTTTATATATTATTATGTAAATGTATAAAGATTTTTTTGCATATTACTCTATTGTAATTTATTTGAATATTTATTAGGCAAACATAAAAATAGTTAAAAATATATAAGAAATTATATGTTTTCTACATCATTTGACTACTTTACTTACTGCGTTTGAATAGCAAAATGCCATTCCCAAATACTTTTTTTTTCTTCTAACTTTATAGTTTATAACGTTATATTTACAATAACAAAACTCAGTCATCTATATATTAATATCAAATCTTCTGACTATGGAGTCAAGAATAAATAAATAGTTTGAATAAAGCATAACACTTAGAATAATTATGGCATTAACTATTATTGATCATATAATTATATTATATTATACATAATATTATGTATGGTATTGTATATGGTATAACAAATGTAAATCTAAATTTAAAAAAAACCAGTTATCATATTTTGTGTTAAAACTATTTGTTTACTTTAATTTTTATTTTAAATTAGTTTTTGATGTGCATTTATCTTTTATTTTTTTTTGTATTTTAATTAATAAAGCCCTCCTCCTAAAAGAGCATTCAATTATAAAATAATAAAAGTTCGAGAATGATGTTCTGTTGGTATAGTTTGGGGATTAATTCAAACAAGCGATTGTCGTTATGAGAAAGCTAAAAACTACAGTGAAAATACCTAGCTAAGATACCACTAAAACAATTTAAAGACGGAGGAACAGCATAGTGCTCCTACGCAAATGGAATTAGTAAAAATTAACTACATAATGCTAAGAGAACGATATTACAATGAGCGAATTACTATAAACAATGTAATTAAATAAACAAGTATTATGTTTGAACAGTGTGCTTGCAATGCCAAAAATAATTAAATAAATCCACATACGTACAAATAGTTTAAATATAATTGTGGTAGTTCTGCACACATTATAATAAAATATATTAAAATTACCTTTAATAAATAAAAATTACACGATGAACTTATCTTAAATCTATTTGTAACGAGAAGAAATAGAAAGAAACGAATGATAAAATAAATGATAACTACTAAAATATTCAATCATTTTAAATACTGAGCGATGAATGTATTTTACGAGTTTGAAGAATACAAAATGATTCGATTAGCATTTTGTGGGGAGTTTTTCTCAGGATCCAGTTGGTAATTTTGGGTATAAAAAATTCTTAGTACTTTTTAAAATAGCCGGTAAAAACAAGGAAATTAAGGAAAAGCTTGAATTTTAACGCAAAACCAGCATTTGACGAAATCAATTTACTCAAAATGAATAATTGCAGATATAGGTACTATACACATATTCAGCAAATGTTTAGGATTATTATTTTCTTCTTATTATCATACTAAAATTGTCTAAACTTTCATTATTTTTTTAACTATTTACAAACATTTGAAATTTAGGTTGTTTTAATAGTTTGTTAATTTAATGCCTGTTTCTGTGTAAGTTTTTATGATAGCTATCTTAAAGCCAATATTTTTGTAGTTAAAATTTAGAAAACTTTCAATTTTCATAGCTCGAAATAGAAATTGAGTATAAAGTTTTTCAAGTTATTCTTACAGTAACAAAAAAACTAAAAAGAAATACAAGCACAGTTTTTTCTTGCAGACGTTTTAAGCTCAATTTTTTTTATGAAATCTGATATTAAAAGATAAATAATGATATTTTCCAGTTAGTTGTAAATTAAAAAAAAATATTCGTAGGCACTTGATACTTTTAACGTATATTATTATATTTTAGGTACACAAGAAAATTTTCAAATGCAATGTTTACTGCAAAAATTAATTCAGCCTACCATATTACTTAGGTAGGTACAGTAAAATAAATTATTCTAATAGTAATATTTTAACATAAAATAAACTTAGTAATATATATTAGGTTGATAGACAGTATTAGTTTATTCGTTTTACGTATGTACTGAATAATGATTTATCATTTGAATTCAAATTTAACACATACATTAAAGTGACTCAATCAATGACGAGGCACACAGAACACCTTTTGCACTGTTGAGTGGTTGCTTCCTTTCCTCTTTTTTAATGTTAATTTTATTTGTTTTTTCATATTTCTTTGGAGTTCGTATGATTTCGTGACAAAGTTAGCAGATCAGAAGTTAACTTCAAAAACCCTTATTAATCACAGTTCATACGATTTTTTTTCTAGATATTACGACTTAATACAATTACAATGGAAATTTGTTTTATAGAAAAAAAATTAAATATAAAATAAATAATATATAAGGACTACGTTTTATTTTATGGTTTGAAATTCTATTTTGAACACGAAAGCCAGTTTTTATGTCTTTGCAAGGGGCTTTCTAACTGACATACTCAGCCGCAGTAATTTGGTAAAATGTTTTGAGAGCATCGTTTGTCTTTCACAAAAGAAATTAATTTGAACGCGATTATTATGAAAAATTTATTAAATTCCAGCAATTCGTTATAGGAAATAAACATTTTATTCAATTTTTCCTAAATTAGTGATGTTAAATAAAAAAAATGTACCTCTATTAACTGTGGACAATTTAATATAGTTGTAGATAATATAATACAATACAATTATTCTATTTACTTTATTAATTTTTGTTTATAAGTGATACACAAGTTTATTTATTTATATATTTATTTAAATGAACTCTAAAAAGAGTATTACTAGTCAGTGTCGTCAAGGTTAGGCTGAGTTAAGTTAAGTTCACTTCCAACATTACTTAAGCTTTTTACTGTACATTATATCAATCGTTCTATATGTTTAGAA